GATTCCGCTGCGTTAGGATTTATTATTCAATAGATTTGAATGTGCACATTGTCAACGTTCCTAATAGAACCCAACAAACGAAAGCTGGTCTATTTTATAGTCCCGAGGACCAGAAAGTAATCGTTAGCACGAATGCTAGGTTCTTGGAAGAAGACTATGTCTTAGATCACAAGCCTAGTAGTAGACATGTTCTTGAAGAGTTAAAGGGAGTGAGTACTTCAATACCGAGTGCGCTAGATGTTACACCACAAAGTACTGCAACACGTATCGCTGATGATGCACCTAAGCAGGTAGTACCTCGTCGTAGTGGGAGGGTTGTCCGGCAACCCGAACGGTTCATGGGTCTGAGAGAGTCTTCTGAGGCCGTCACGGACGTTCTTGAAACCGACCCATGGACATACAATGAGGCACTCCAAGATCGGGACGCAGAGTCTTGGCAAAAGGCGATGAAGTCTGAATTAGAGTCGATGGACACTAATCAGGTCTGGGATCTTGTAGAGCCACCCAGTGGCGTTCGAGCCATTGGATGCAAGTGGGTCTATAAGAGAAAGAGAGGATCGAAAGGGAAGGTTGAGAGCTTCAAAGCTAGGCTTGTTGCGAAAGGGTACACTCAGAAAGAAGGGATCGATTATGAGGAAACCTTTTCGCCGGTAGCCATGCTCAAATCCATCAGGATTCTCTTGGCTGTGGCCGCTCAAATGGATTATGAGATTTGGCAAATGGATGTTAAGACCGCTTTCCTTAACGGGAATTTGGACGAGGACATCTATATGCAGCAACCAGAAGGATTCATTGCAAAGGGCCAAGAGCATCTGGTCTGCAAGCTGAAGAGGTCCATTTATGGGCTGAAGCAGGCTTCGAGGTCTTGGAACATCCGTTTTGACGAGGTTGTCCAATCGTATGGATTTACCCAATGTCCTTGATATGGGATATTATACCCATTAGGCCGAACCGGTCTGTAGACCGGTCGAGGAGGTCGTATTCTGAAGAAGTCGAGGGAATCGAGCAGTCACTCAGTCGACCAAGCAAAGCTGTCGAACAAACTATCCATCGACCAGATAGGCGATCGAGCATCCTGTTCGGCCTCAACAGGTCGATTACTTCGAGGACTTGACACCATGCTGTTCGGCCTAGTCATAGACGCGTGAGAGAAA